TTTGCAGACTAAAAAGGATGACATAAATTTATTAGTTTATTTACTCGAGTCTTACTTCAAGTAATGTGTCTATTCCGCGGGTGTTGTACTCATTTATTTAAATTATTGCATGAATGAGATTGGTTCAGTCTCATATTTTCAAAAGTTTGAATGTTACTTTTCATATATATATATATAGGTTCGATCTCGTATTATCAAAAATTAAAATATTACTATTCAAAATTATATATATATATATTAAATAAAATACTTTTTCCCATGTTGATGACTGACAATTATATTTGGTTATGTTTAGGTTTGGTTGATTTCAATTTTTTTTTGTTAGATTTTAATTTAAACTTAAATTAGAGTTTAGGGTTCAAGCTATAAGTTATTAGATTTCAACTCAGCCATTTGGTGACACTACAAGAAAGGTCGTGTGTCCCAATGAGATTGAATATAAGGAAAGGAAATTATTGACTGAGAAGTGAGGTCAACAGGGGCTACAACTCATAATCATTGTAGAAAATGGAACACAATTTGTTAACTAAAGGATAAACATTTTTATCAAGAGACCCATTTAAATTTTTTTGTCTGTCTATCATCATCAAATGAATGGGCAAGCAAGTTAGATAACATGATTATTATAAATCTGCTAAGAAAAAAAAATTATAGTAGCTAAGGAAACTAGTCAAGATTCAACCGTCTACTCTTTGAGTGATTTGAATGACAAATTCCATGATCACCAGGCGAAACACATTCTTCCTGTCACATAGGATGGAAGAAATATTGTTGATGAAATATAACTATCACACACAAAGGGTGGTGACAGTAATATCATTTGACAAAGCAGACATAACTAAGGGGCATGAAGAAAATGAAAATAGAGTAATGTTGGCATTCAACTTTCAAAAAATGAAACAGACCAACTTTATATCTCAATTGAAATTTTATACAATTAAACAGACCAACTTTCAAAAAATGAAAAAGACCTAGGATTGTATCTATACTCCCTAAACCCTGGAGTATAGATGACTTGATGAAATTTTATTCTTAAGGAAATATTCTTATATCTCAGCCTTGTATTTAAGAATGATTTATCATTCAAACCCTTGTATTTTATTTCTTATTTACATGAAATGTTATATAAAATTTGCTTAATTATACATACAATCCTAGGTCTGCATGGGATCATCAAAATCTAACTGACACTCAGGAAATCAAACCAACCTATAAGCGGTGGTTTCATCTGAGCCAAAAACTCGATATGATTGGTAAAAATCGATTAGTAAAAGTTTTTAAATTGCTGAAAAAATAAACATCTAATTGATATATCACACAATTTGACCAACAATGGTCTTACTTCAAAAAAAAAAATCCATGCCTTCTATAATGGGTCAAGCCCTGACGAAAAGATTCCTTACCCATTAACGACAAGATCTGTGATGGGTGGCAAACAAATCACCTCAGTAAGAAAAGATTGTTTTGATTTATCACCCTTGAAAGGAAGAGCTCATGTAAAAACGTGGGTTCCAATCCTTCACCTTATTTTCCAACCCAAACAACTAAAACTTTTCAAGTAAAGAAGATTATAAATTTCCATCTGTGGATGATATATGATGAAAAAAGTAGGTAAAAGACAACAAAGCTCATGAAAGCCACTACAAAGCTAAAAATTATCTATGTAGAAATGACACCAAAATGGGCAAAGGTGGCCAACAATTTCAAGCAAAAAAGTTGGTCTTAGACTTAAACAAAAATAATCCTTGTAGAAGAGATGGTCCACAACATATTAGAGGTAGCTTGATTGTTCTCATAAGAACTCAAAGCTTGACGGTGGGATTAAAGACACTAGTCTTTAGCAATCAATCTACCTCCCATGGAATATTCCATGATTAATCATTCAATACAACTAATCCAAAGCCCTTTAGAGAGTAGCGAGAAGCCATTAAGTATTGCAAAAATAAAAAATTGAGAAAAAAATGAGAATTAAGAAGGAAAAAGTTAGAGTAAAGTATAATGTCACCAAACCAACATCCATTATATATTAGGAAATAAAAGATCATGAACTGTCACACAAAGACAAAAATGGAACTGTATAGTAGTTTTCTAGACACGTTGGTAGCAGGATCACATTGATATAGAAAGTGAGACAGAAAAACAAACTTTTTTTCCAAGTAAGAGCTTAAAATTACAAAAGGCACTAAGAAATTAGCTCGATATAAAATCTTTTGCAAGGCGTTGGTAGCAGGATCACATTGATATAGAAAGTGAGATAGAAAAACAAACTTTTTTTCCAAGAGCTTAAAATTACAAAAGGCACTAAAAAATTAGCTCGATATAAAATCTTTTGCAAGGCGGTGTATTTTCCAAGGGGGGTCAGTCGCTTCGGCTAAGTCATAGCACGACTTAAGTAACCTTTTATACAAAATTTTCCCCTTTACCTAAACCTTTAATCAATCCATCTCGACTAGAGGCTGAAGGATCAAGGACCTCTATCAGATGTCATACAATTCCTGACAAAGAGTAGCCACCACCTCCTCCGTTATCTCCATTTTGTCTGCACAAGCCAACATATTATGCATCACATCACCTTGCTAGATCCCAACTAACCAAGAAAAGGAGTTCTCAATCTCATTTAAGAGGTGTGCCAACAACCAGAGATATGTGCAATACCCATTAACTATGTTCTCGTGGGTTTCAAAAGGATCGTAGAGGAGAGACATTCACCCTAGCCTGGCGTCTGTTTTGCCATCATTGACTCCAATGTTGGATTAGGTCAGAATCCTCACTTAGGCCTCTCAAAGTATAGTCATGAACACCAAGAGACAATGCAGATAAAAAGAAATAGAAAAAAAGATCAAAATCTATTAAATAAGATTGAGGCTCCAAATACCTAGAAGATGATTTAATTTAGAAGTTGTAATTGAGATAACACTTCTACTATGCGATGACAAAGCACCATCTACCTCTTGTGCAACCCGTTGGATTTGTGGGTCTTATGGTATCACAGAAATTTGGGCTATCTAAATAATGATCATATCTGTTAGTTGTACGTTCCTTTGCTTAAGGTTGAAGAGCAATTTAGATGATCATAAGTAATTCTCCATTGTAGTTTCCAAAAATTTTCTCTTATTAAAAACTTTTTTTTTCATCCTTTCACCTACGGGCTATATCTCCCTTTTTATTTCCCAAAGACAAAAAGAATCAAATCATTATTTTGGATTTTAACTTGAGGGGTTCCACATGTTCTCCATTACAACACTCTGAATCCAACCGATTCAAAGAAGAGGGGTTATAGAGCAAAAAATGAATGTGAAGAACTCTTGTCTCACCTTAATTATAGAAATCAACGACGCAAAAATAAAAGGATTTCAATTATCGAAATGATATCTATGGGACTAAAGTTTTTTTATTCCAGGCACCACTTTTAAGAGGGAATTAAAATTGATTAATCATAAATAAGAATTACTATTTTAATAACTTTTTAATTCTTATCACAGCGTGGCTTTTAATATGTAAGATCATCAAGGAACTAAAAACATACATAAAAAGGTGCCAACACTGATCTTGAAGAGATCTAATTGTCAAAATAGACAAAGTACTTTCTAGGAAGACCCACTGACAGAAAATCATGGAGCCTACTTAGCAGACCAAACACAAAACTAAGCAAGAACGCAAATGAATTGCCCGATCCTTAAACATTAAGCCATAAATAAGACAAAGAGGAATTCGAGCCAACCACTGTAGGAAAGTTGATCTTTGGATGGGGAAGAATGAGTCCTTTGTATTTCCAATCATCTTGAATATGCCAAGAGGACTCTCACAAGCTATCAAGGATTGATTATTGTTTATTAATGTTCTCTCTCTTTCTCTCCTTTTTTATGTTCTATTTCTTCTATGTGATTTACAAACAAATCACTTGATTCAATAACACACACACATACAAATTCACACACGCACACACAAACATTCATAAAATGGATAAATTTTAGCCCTTATATTCTCTATAACACTTTATATCAAAATTTAGTTGAGCAATGATGGTCAATAGTGATCTAGATATGTTTGTTTTTGGGTGGCATTAGTTGAGAGAATGCAATTGGGCAACTACAAATCAAAAACCATAATGAAATGATAATGGTTACATGTTTGAAATCAGGTAACAAACATTAAGAGATTTTTAATTAGGTGATTATAATGATTGGGGTGCAAAGATTGGAAGACCCTCTTAGTAGGGGAAAGTGTCTGGAGATTGTAGTCAAGCGACAATGATCTAATGGTAACTGTTGTGTAATGGGAGTCCAACAATAGCTATTTGATGTTAATGAATGGGTGGTAATTGTATAATTTTATTGATTTTGGTGAAAACATTCCCTATGAATACTTTCAAACTCTATAGCATTCGATCAAATGGCTCAGGGTAATCTTGTTAACTATAAGTTTTTTAAAGTATTTTAATGTATTAATTTACTTAGAATCACATGATCTTTTGCTTGTTGGATTTGATTCATTGAGAAGTTTCATTTAACTATAAGTACTTAAGATTTGACTATCATTTAGACTCATAATTTCGTATTGTTGGTGTTGTTTCATCAATACATTTCATCTCAATCATCTAAATTGGAGTTCAAGTGATAAAAAATTTGGCTCGAAATTAAACCAAACTCATTATACTTTAATGTTCATACTTGATTAAGTGAATTTTTCTAATGATGTATCTATTATAAAAGATGACATATAAAAATTTTCTGATAGAACATCGAAGTACGAGAAAAAAAATTTGCCAAATTTAGTCTGAATGAATTTTTAAATTATTTAATTAATTAAATGATGACTGTAATATATTAAATCAATTAACATTTTTATAAATATTAATTTTAATATAAATTTCTTCGCTCATCCGGTCATCCTAAAAAATCTGAATAAAAACATGTTGATTAAGTATTAATTTTTTAATATCTTACAAGTATACTCCCACGTATAAAAGTACGCAAACATCTCCAAACAATCCACTCCCACAGTCTAGTCCCAAAACAAACTGTGAGCCATGGAAGCACCAACTTCATCCGAAATCCTACCACTAATCCTCCTCCTCCTCCTCCTCCTCCTCCTTACACTGATGAAGAAGCTTAAAACCCACAAAACCTCCAATACCTTTAAGCTCCCTCCAGGACCACCGAAACTCCCAATCATAGGAAACATTCACCTCCTTCTGGGTGACCATCCCCACCGAAGACTGCGTGACCTCGCCAGGAAATATGGCCCTCTGCATCTCCTCAAACTCGGAGAAATAAACCATATAGTAATCACATCCCCAGAACTTGTCACCAAGGTTATGAAGACCCATGACATCAACTTCGCTTCTCGGCCTGAGTTACTTGCCAGCAAAATCATCTGCTATAATAGCATGGACATCGGCTTTGCTCCTTACGGTAAATACTGGTCACAGCTACGAAAAATATGCACAGTTGAAGTACTCGGCGCCAAACGCGTCCAGTCTTTCAGTTTCATAAGAAAGGAAGAAGGAGATAACCTTGTGGATAGGATCCGCAGGGCGAGGGGATCGCCGGTGAACCTTAAAGAGATGTTTTTAGCTTTGACGAGCGCGACTATTTCTCGGGCGGCTTTCGGGAAGGACTGCGCTCATCAGGAAAAATTCCTAAATGCGACGAGAGAGGCGTTCAGGCACTTGTCGGGATTTGATATTGTTGATTTCTTCCCATCGTTGGGGTTCATTGGCAAACTTACTGGTTCGAGGACTCGGTTGGAGAGAGTGCATCAGCATTTAGATGAGATCTTGAATGAGATTTTGGAGGAGCATCAAGCAAAGAACTCTCAGGGAGATGATTCTGGAGAGGATATAGTTGATGTTTTGCTAAGACTTCAGAAACATGGGCAGTTGGATATTCCTCTTTCGTCGGACAATATCAAAGCTGTTATATTGGTAAATTTTATTTTATTAAGCCAACGTACAGCTGCCTTATTTACTTATCATTTTGCCTTTTCATTCCTCTTTATTTTTTTAATAGAAAAAGAACGTAGGAATAGCTAAGCATTGAACTGAACATTAGAGAAGAAATTAGACTGACAGATAGTTTTAGATGGAAGTACATAGTTGTTTAATCAAAAGGCAGTTACCAATGTCCAAATTTGATGTAAAAAAATATTTTACTTGCTAACAACATAAAATGTTACTAACTGAATTAGATGGCATCCATCGATAATAACGTTAAAGATTAAACCGACAAAAACTTTATCACATCTTTTTTTTTTTCCTTCAATAAGTTTTATAATATTTAGATTAATTTTGAAATTGATCATTTTTTTAAGGAATCCCGTAAGAAATTTTATTCAAATAAAAAAAATGTTAAAGTGTTTGTGACCGACAGTTTCACTACATACCAACCACCCTACTCACGTAAATAAATAAAAACCTAAGAAACCGTCAGTCAAGTACAACTCACGTAAAAAAAATCTAAAAACATTATCACATCGAATATAAGGAGTTTCTAAACAATAATCATGAATAAGAATAGAAAGCTCATGAGGTACTCGAACCGGAAATATGAAGTCTTGTTTCTCCAACCCACGCTTAGCAGCCCAATTTGCACATTGGTTGTCTCTCGATATATAAATAGCCAATTAATCTGCAAAATCTTAAGGAAAGCAAATATTTTTTTCATTTGAATAATAAGACTCCAAAGATACAATTTCTTCTTAGTACAATAGTTCCAAAGTTCCAAAAAATCTATCTCAACATCGTTCAAATGTCCACTGCAAATAACAGCTAAAGTTAATGCAAGTATAACAGCGTCAGCTTCAGAACAAATAGATGATACAGGGATAGTAGGAGCAGAAAACCAGAAAATATATTTTTCTTCGATGTTACGACACAATCCACCAATTTCAGAAAAAAAAATTATTTAACTTCCATCAATATTGATTTTAGGAAAGTCACGCAAATGCTTATTCCAGCGATTTAAATTAATAACAGACTTACAATAAGAATGAATATCTATATCACATCTAAAAAAGATGTTCCTCGATTTCAAACCCAAAGGATTTTTAAATTTACCAAAACGAAATATATTATAAACAAAATTAGTAATGAAAATAAAGCATGAATGAGTAGTAATCTAATTGTCATTATGTTTAGATTAATTCCCATCAAACCAAATGTACCAAGAAACAATAATATGAATAGCGGTAAAAAAAAATATTCTCACCGACACATCTCCAAAAGTTAAAGAAATCATTGATGGAAAAATAGTGACATCATTTATCGACATGTCACAAAAAGTGAAGATATCTTTCCAAACCTTCTTAGCATAGGTGCAAGAAGTAAAAATATGCTCCAAATTATCTTCCTCATATTTACAAAGAAAACATCGAGAAGGAATACGTAAATCTTTTACTTTAAGAATATCATCAGCAGGTAAGATATGATGAAAAAACCCCCAAATGAAAAATGACTTGAAATTAATGATTTAAAAAAAAAATATATTAACCACTTACAATAACAGGCATTTTTTTCTCACTGTAAGAGAACAGAGAAAAATGATGTCAGAATATTCTGATACTGATTATTTTAATAAGGCCTTAAAACTAACTTGTTTATTTTAAAACTATATTCAATAATTGTGAATCCCGTCCTAGTATAACTTTTTTTTAAACGTCTAGATGTAGTTTTATAAATGTGCACTACAGAAATTCTTATGCTTGTACTTAAACATTGTCATTAGTTGAAGAATGAAACTTCAGCTGTTTTTTAAGCAAACTTATATTCTCCTATAAAAACTTCTATAGGCATAATTTTTCAAAAAATTAAGGCAATATAAATAAATATATACATCTGTATGTGTATGGAAAGCAAATTAAAAATTATATGACGTTGGAAAAACGATGTAGCGTTTGTCTAATATGTGGAAAGCCTTGACGGTTCAACAAATTGACAGCTGAAGTTCAACTCTTTCCAATTAGAAGCTATACCGAGAATGTGGGAAGCAAGTGCTAATCACAGGCCTAAAATTCTAATTAATCCTCACCCAAGTTAATGAAAATGGTCAAATGGGCCAAATAAACGATGCTATAAGAAACTCCAAAGGAAATACAAATCAAATTAATGTGAAGATAAAAGTTAATAAATACTAAATATCATATCTTACTCAATCCACAGCAGTGGGATTTACCTGGGCATCTGAATAGTATCGAGATCAATAACATCAGGATTTGATTGAGTAGAACTGCTCATAGCACATTGACTAAAAGAACATATAAATTTGCAGAGAGATAAAGCTACCTTAAGATCGAGAAAAATATCCATAAATAAACTAGTTTTTTATTTTTGAAATAACTAAGCTTTTTGAAAAGTTGATATGATGAAAAGACAAGGTGAGAGATGTGATGCATGTGTGTGTGGTGGTTGTGGTAGGTGAAAAATGAAAGGCCGAGATTAGTTTGATTGTTGAATAATGTGTGGTGTTGATTACTTCTATACTTATATAAATACCTCATAGTTTTAGGTGTTATGAATCAAGTCTAAGAGAAAGTTTTGTGAGCTTCTAAATTGAGTTTGGGTGAGTTTGAGAGTTTCATTTTGTGATTTTGAGTTTATAAAAACTTTAGTTTCTCCCCAACAAAGTGGTATCAGAGCTATGGCAAATGAATTATTGATTCCCTTCCAAGTTCCAATGCTTGCCAAGTCTAATTACGTTAATTGGAGCATTATGATGAAGGATCTATTAAGAGTACAAGATGAATGGCGTATCAATGAGAAGGGTTATAGAGAGCAGGATGATATTGCTCTATCCAAAACTCAAAGAGAAGCTTTGGAAGATTCAAGAAAGAGAGGCACGATGGCTTCTTTCTCATCTATCAAGCAATGAATGAAGATTGATTCGAGAAGGTCTCAAAAGTAAACACAAGAAATAAAGCATGGGAGAAACTTCAAATTTGCAACAAAGAAGTGGAGTAAGTTAAAAAGATTCGCCTTCAAATTCTTAAAAGTGAATTTGAACTCTTATTTATGGAGGAATCTGAATTAATTTCAGATTATTTTTAAAGAATGTTGACTACTCTTAATCAATTAAAACAAATTGTGAAAATGTGAATGAAGTAAAAAATATAGAAAAAATTATTCGCTCTCTTAATCCAAAATTTTAGTATGCCGTTACTACAATTTAAGAAACTAAATATTTAAAAATAATGATTGTAAACCAATTACTGGATTCCTTGCAAACTTGTAAGGAAAAAATAGAAAAGGAAGAAAAACAACAAGAAACGATGGCGCAACTTCTTCAACTATTTTTTAAGAAGAAATTTTCAACAATGAAGATGCCAATGATGAAGAGGACGAGGCCGAGGATGTGGTCATGGACAAGGACTAGGAAAAAGTGAATATAACACTTCCAATAATTGCAATAATAGAGGTATAAGTGAAAATCAACAAAGATCAAGAGGTCTTGGAAAAGGAAATTCATGACCAAGATATGACAAATCACAAATTAAATACTACAATTATAAAAAATTTGACCAATTTTGTTGTGGAATGTAGATGTTCAAAAGAAATGGAGGAGAAAAGCAACCTTATAGAAGATAAAAGTAAGGAAGGAGGAACTTTATTGTTAGCATGCAAGGACAAAGATAAATATCAAATAAATAAATATTATTTTGACACTGGTGCAAGCAATCATATGCGCAAAGAAAGAGATATGTTCGTAAAGCTTGATGAAGTAATAAGGGGAAATGTTTCATTTACAGATGAATCAAAAATATCGATAGATGATAAAGGTAAAATTCTAATACGTTTGAGCAATGGAGGTCGTCAGTTCATCACAAATGTTTACTATGTGCCCATTATGAAGACTAATATTTTGAGTTTGGATTAGTTATTAGAGAAATGATATGATGTTCACTTAAAAAAAATTATTTTTTCTTAAGAGACCATAGAAAGAATTCGATCGCTATGATACCCATGATGAAATAGATTATTTCTTCTTGAAATAAAATGTGATGTTGCAAATTGTTTAAAAGTTTGTTATAGTGACTCAGTATGGCTATGGCATCTACGATGAGGGCATCTAATTTTTTGTAGTTCCTCTATCAAGGAAGGATATGGTGAGAGGCTTAGCTTTTATCAATCAACCATATTAACTTTACAAGGGATGTTTACTTGGAAAGTAATCTTGCAAAATCTTTCCAAAGGAGTCAACTTCAAGAGCAACCAAGGAACTTGAGTTCATACACACTGATGTTTGTGGCTCTATTAGTGAGAGTAAATATTTTCTTTTATTTTTGATTAAAAAAAGGGTTTTTATTAAAGGATAAATCGGAAGTGTTTGAAAAATTTAAGAATTTAACAGCTCTTGTTGAGAAGGACAGTGGTCTTAACATCAAGGCCATTATATCTGATCATAGAGGAGAATTAACATAAAATGGATTTCAAACATATTATCAAGGTTATGGATTTTGTCATCCTTTAGCATTGCCAAGGGCCCCCCAATAAAATGGATTTGCAGAATGAAAGAATTGAATGATTCTCAATTTAGCTCGAACCTTTCTCAAAATTAAAAGAATGCCCAAAGAATATTGAGTAGAAGGGATCAGTTGTGCAATTTACCTTACAAGTTGCTCCCATACAAAAAGTGTACATGAAGAAACCCTCAAGAAGCATTGAATGGAATGAGATCAGGTATCTCTTAACTTAATGTGTTTGTAAGTATTGCATACATTCACATTCTAGAGGAAAATAAGAACAAAACTAGATGTTAAAAGTGAAAAGTATGTGTTCATTAGCTATGACTCAAGTTCTTAAGGTTACATACTTTATAATCCAATTGATGACAAAACTCTCATTGGTCATGATGTTGAGTATGATGAAAAAGATAATGGGGATTGGAGGACATAATAAGATAGATATACTTTTCTTCCTTATTTTGAAGAAGA